AAGGCCAACTGCTTCCTTTCTGTATTTCTCTGTGGGGCTTACAGTGCCTTCATGTATCCAGGGAAGCCCAGTTGGGACTCTTTGGTGGCAGTTGACTGTTGGGGGAGATGTCTCAGATGTCAACATTAGCCATGGTTCATCTCATGAAGTTCCCAGACAGCCTTGTGATTGGACTTGAACAAACACTGGTCAGCTTGGAGCTTATACTGTGTGTGAGTGGGATCTCAATGTTTGAGACATGGTAGTTCAACGGGATAGCACTATAAGACCCAGCGTAAGTCAGATCGAGTACAAGCAGACACATTCACACAGATGTGCATGAACATCATTATATAAGTGAAATAGTCTTGAACGGGATGTTAAATCCCATTTCACCTCAACCTAGGACATTTTATGTATAATATCATCAACTCTGTAATATTGATATTTTCATTAAATGATTTCTTTGTATTTACAGGCGTATACGTGCATGACCGAATCACAATGTTTTGTCATTTAGATATTGCATCTGTTCCGTGTCTATCTACCTCATCTCACCGGAACTGTTCTCAGGGATCTTCTTAGAGCTGATCTTGAGTAGCTTCCAGGTATAAACTGTTGCAGCATCTTCTAAAGAACTGCTTGACGGATTGAGATGACACCTTCTGTTGCTAGATGCACAAGTTTCTTACATGACATCTGAAAGTAAATTCATTTTCATTTCTGAATTTTATGATAAGATCAAATTCAGGACATTTGTAAGGGTTTAAAAAAAAAATCCTCAGAACCCATCAATGACCAAAGTTATGTTGAGGCATCATTATGATGTATTCTACTTAATAGAAATAAATGAACAAGGGAGATAGTTCTAAGGATATGCAACTTCATTTTTACATTGAATGTGACGTTTTGGTGTAGACAATAACAGCGTTATCAAGCAAGTAACAATCTCACTTGATCATCATACTAACCAAGTGCCACTACAGAAGGTAATAGTAATAAATGTTTGTCATTTAAAAAAACATCATTTTTTGTCCGGTTTTGTGAAAAATAGAACAAGCAATGAATTTGTGTGGTCCGAATGCAAACAATATTACAGGTGGGCTGGTAGGCAAATTCCTAAAGTCTGTCCGAATTTGTAGATAGATGGTACATGTTTCACACACAAGGGCATGTTTATTGACCATGGTGGTGGTGATAGACTGCCTCATTGCCATGAGAGTGTTTATGAGGCACACTATGCCCACATGCTTCAGATAGTCTGTATCCCACATGGGCGGCCACAAGGTGAACATGAGTTTAATATGTCCTGAGGAGAGAGGTGATAAGAGCATATATCGCCCCTCTGGACTGGTGGGTGAGAATGGTGGAAGGAGAGGGATTCATGTCAGACTGAGGAGGGTATTCCATCAAACTTAGGATGATCTTATTGCTGTCAGGGGGCAGATCAAAAGCTGAGGAGGAAAGCATGTATGGTTGTTGAAAACTTTTAGTCATAGAACTGTGGGTTAATCTTGGAATTTTATGTTTGCCTTGTGCTGTTGTGCATGCAGGATTTTTATGTAAGAAAGGAATGTAACATCTGAATTATCTGTGGTATATGTCATGAAATGTTTATTGCCACAGCTGTAGGCAACCCATTGTGATATGATTCATAATCAGGGTATTCTTAAGGTAGAAAAAAAATGGTTCCCAATAAAAGGACAGAAACTTGGCTGTTTCTCATATTTCTATTGTCATTTCTGTCAGTTATTTAGAGAATAACATATGACCTATAAGGAATTATGGATTGTCTGTCCTAAGTGAATCTGAGATGTACTCTTCTTAATTGTGAGGAGGTTATTCCCAATAATTTTTTTTCCTGAGATAATGTAGAAAAATGTGGTTTCCCTGAATTCTAGTGGACTCACCAGCTCAGTTGACCAATTGTAGGCCACATAAATTGTTTGAACAGTGAATCATATCATCAATTATTTCTGGTAATGAGTTCATAAGATGTCGCATTGCTGTGGCCCTCCTACATTTCACCTATTCATGCCCTGGTGGGTAATATGTACAACATATGACTTCTGTTCTTGTTGCCATGAAGAATGTCATGATATTTGGTCTGGTAACCAACATAGAAATGAACTAAGTAACCACTTCCATGTATTATGGGTGTTGGCAAGACCATCTTTTAATTGTGGGTTTGACAAGTCAATGAAAGACCAGCTATAAGCATTGATAACACCAACAAGATCCATGGGGATTCCAGGTCAGAATAGGTCCCCACAACCTATGCTGGTTGTAAGAAGCGACCAATTGGATCAGCCAGGGTCAGCAGACATGGTTGATTACATGTCATCATTCCCCAATGGTGTTGATGACATTGCTCATAATATCAATCACTGGAATGTCTGGTCCAGACTCAATTGTTTACATGCCGCTGTCATGTAGTTGGAATATTGCTGGGTGTGGTATTTAACAAGACACAAACAAAACAACTCCCACAAGATACTGAGTGCAGCATGAACCCCCTATGTATTGTATGACTAGCTCAATATTGTTTTTGAACAGGTTAATTGGGTGGCAGTTGGTGATGCGGCCATTGTTGCTGAATAATACGCTCTTATATCACCATTGTTGAAGCACACTGGTGTAAGTGTTGAGGGGTGCAATCCCCTATTGACTTTGAAATGAGGCTTGGCAGTAGACTTTTGTAGCTAAGGTAACTCTGTTTATTTACACAGCTGCAACATACTGAAGATGATGGCTTAGAGTTATCTCCCTTCAAATGTTAGTATTTTCTTTCATAATAACGTTTCCTCTGGAATGGGACACACAAGTAACTCACATGCGGGCAGATTGCCTCCCCTGAATAAACCAGCAGGCACATTCCTGCACTGTTTATTGTAGGTGTATGTATAATTTTGTCAGAATGTTGGCAATTTTGTCTGTAAGATGTGAACATTTGATGTTGGTCTGTGTTTGGGAAGGTCATTGTTACAGGAAGATACCATCTCTGTCAGACATCTTGATTGAATTATACAGGGTGAATGTATCGCAGTTAGACAAGTCAGACATGTTCAGGTAGACATTTAGTGTTGTTTTAACATGGAAGTATAGACCTTGCTTCTCAATGTCTTCATCGAGCCAGCAATAAGACCTAAGTGATCCAGTTACAAAGCTGTTGTTCTGATCATGACTATGTTGCCTTTTTAGTAACAGCTGAATCTTGTCATTAATTTCTTTTAACCTTTCTGCTTTTCTATGGGGAGTCCAGACATGCATGTTGGCCTGGATCGGCCATGCTTGTCATGAGAGGACAACAATGGTGGTTATAGCATGTGTGCTCCTGCTTGTGTGCCATCCTACCTGATGCCATGGATCTTTGATTCTGTAATTGTTCTATCTGCATTATAACTCTTGTGGGTTCAGAGTAATCATCAAGGAATGCAGAGTAAGAATAGCTATTATAGATGACCAACAAAAGGCACCACCAGAGGTGACCATTATTGATGACCAGCAGAGGTCAAACCAGATTTGACTATTATAGTTGACCAGCAGAGGGCACCACCAGGCACCACCAGAGGTGACCGTTCTTGATGACCAGCAGAGGTCACACCAGAGGTGACCAGCAGAGGCCATGACCAGAGCTGACCAATATTGATGACCAGCAGAGGTCACACCAGAGGTGAACAGCAGAGGGCATGACCAGAGGTGACCATTATTGATGACCAGCAGAGGGCACCACCAGAGGTGTCCATTATTGATGACCAGCAGAGGTCACACCAAAGGTGTCCAGCAGAGGTCACACCAGAGGTGACCATTATCAATAACCAGCAGAGGTCGATGCTCATAATGTCAATCACTTTGTCTGGCTCAGACTTGATTATTTACAGACCACTGTATTATAGCTGGAATATTGCTGAGTGTGGTGTAAGCAACAACCAAACAAAGAAGCCAGCAAACTAGCAGAGGTCACGCCAGAGGTGACCATTATTGATGACCAGCAGAGGTCACATCAGAGGTGACCAGCAGAAGGCACCACCAGAGGTGACCATTATTGATGACTAGCAGAGGTCATGCAAGAGGTGACCATTATTGATGACCAGCAGAGGTCACACCAGAGGTGACCATTATTGATGACTAGCAGAGGTCACACCAGAGGTGTCCATTATTGATGATCAGCAGAAGGCACCACCAGAGGTGACCATTATTGATGACCAGCAGAGGTCACACCAGAGGTGTCCATTATTGATGACCAGCAGAAGGCACCACCAGAGGTGACCATGATTGATGACTAGCAGAGATCACACCAGAGGTGACCATTATTGATGACCAGCAGAGGTCACACCAGAGGTGACCATTATTGATGACCAGCAGAGGGCACCACCAGAGGTGTCCATTATTGATGATCAGCAGAAGGCACCACCAGAGGTGATCAGACTGAATGCCATGGCACTAGATTGCTTGGATATTTGCTTCATATCTTTTCTCAATACCAGGATGTTACAAATGTCATTTTGGCAAAATACTATATCACTTGAGATTGTGTCTTATGAGTGTATGTTGTGTATTATGATGTCAATTTTGTAATGATGTGCTTAATGAGTTTTGACCTTTCTGTGGCCTGGATGAATATACTTTCAGAATTAAATTTATATTTATGATGTTATAATGAAACTGGATGAACTACAGTGCCCCCATTTATGGCTTTATTTTTCTGTTCAACAAAAACTAATGACAAAATACTGTGAGGAGTAGGCATCTATTAAATCAGTTTTGGTATAATCATGTACAGATGAAATGGAATAAAACACACAATAGTTCAGGCACTTAGTAGAGAATTTTCACAAGACTAACAAAGTTTTGCTGTTTATACATTGGTTCCATGAGAAGGTACTAGTGGAAGAGACTATCTGAGAAACAGTAGGGGCAACTGAAACAACATTCAGCTGATTGTTACCATGGAGACTGTTTTCTTAGCTTAGTGTACTTAAGATGATGTCATGTCTGTACTCGTGTTGTTGTGTTTTCAGGGTAATGTATGAGGGGACTACCTCCTGGGTGTGAGTCAATGAGAGCTGCACACCTGTTTCCAGGGATGATAGTCCTTCACCTGATGGCCATAATACAGGTACGTCCCACTGACAATACTACAGACCGTCCCACTGACAATACTACAGAACCTCTCACTGACAATACTACAGAACGTCCCACTGACAATACTACAGAACGTCCCACTGACAATACTACAGAACATCCCACTGACAATACTACAGAACGTCCCACTGACAATACTACAGAACGTCCCACTGACAATACTACAGAACGTCCCACTGACAATACTACAGTACATCTCACTGACAGTACTACAGTACATCTCTGACAATACTACAGAACCTCCCACTGACAATACTACAGAACCTCTCACTGACAATACTACAGTACATCTCTGACAATACTACAGAACATTCCACTGACAATACTATGGAACGTCCCACTGACAATACTACAGTACATCTCTGACAATACTACAGTACATCTCTGACAATACTACGGAACGTCCCACTGACAATACTACGGAACGTCCCATTGACAATACTACAGAACGTCCCACTGACAATACTAAGGAATGTCCCACTGATAATACTACAGAACGTTCCACTGACAATACTACAGAACGTCCCACTGACAATACTACAGTACATCTCTGACAAAACTACAGAACCTCTCACTGACAATACTACAGTACATCTCTGACAATACTACAGAACCTCCCACTGACAATACTACAGAACCTCTCACTGACAATACTACAGTACATCTCTGACAATACTACAGAACATTCCACTGACAATACTACAGTACATCTTTGACAATACTACAGAACGTCCCACTGACAATTCTACAGAACGTCCCACTGACAATACTACAGTACATCTCTGACAATACTACAGTACATCTCTGACAATACTACAGAACATCCCACTGACAATACTACAGAACGTCCCACTGACAATACTACAGTACATCTCTGACAATACTACGGAACGTCCCACTGACAATACTACAGTACATCTCTGACAATACTTCGGAACATCCCACTGACAATACTATGGAACGTCCCACTGACAATACTACAGTACATCTCTGACAATACTACGGAACGTCCCACTGACAATACTACGGAACGTCCCACTGACAATACTACAGAACGTCCCACTGACAATACTACGGAATGTCCCACTGATAATACTACAGAACGTCCCACTGACAATACTACAGTACATCTCTGACAATACTACAGAACGTCCCACTGACAATACTACAGTACATCTCTGACAATACTACGGAACGTCCCACTGACAATACTACGGAACGTCCCACTGACAATACTACAGAACGTCCCACTGACAATACTACAGAACGTCCCACTGATAATACTACAGAACGTCCCACTGACAATACTACAGTATGTCACAGGTAATTCTACAGGTATTTGTCACAGACCATTCTACAGGTGTTTGTCACAGACCATCTGAAAGGTGTGTCTCCCCAGCAATACTACAGTACATAGGTAAATTTCCAAAGAAATCTACATTCCAACTTTCGTCAGTAGAGTAATGAAACCCATTGTAACAAGGTTCGTGGAATGAAGATGCGGAAACTTTCCCGAGTAATTTAGTCCACATTTTCAACGTTTCCAAAGTAATGAGGTCCACATTAACTAGGTTTCCCTAGTACTGAGGTCCCCATCAATGAGGTTTCCAGAGTAATGAGGTCCACATTAACAAGGTTTCCCTTGTACTGAGGTCCACATTAACAAGGATTCCAGTGTACTAATGTCCACATTAACAAGGTTTCCCGAGTTATGAAGTGTGACTATACAGTCGGCAGCCAAAGGTTCAATGTTTGTGTTTGTGTGATAGAAACTGCTTACTTTTAAAACACATTTAACATTCAGGCTTTGAACTGACATTTTCCACTTGACTGTGACACTGGCAAGTAATTGTGAGATTACATACAGGGTAGGATATAGTCTTGCTGACAGAGCTAACACTACACAAGTCTCTTCCATGCAGCCTGTCTAGCAGTGGTTCAACTAGCTCTCCAAGTATTAAGTCCGGCAGTCAAGAGAAACACTGGACGGTAAAGGTGCTTCAGGATACATCTTGACAAGACTGGGGTAGGCCGGGTAGCCTTGTGTTTGAAGCGTTTGCTCATCAAGCCGAAGACCCGGGTTTGATTTCCGACATTGGTACAATGTGCGAAGCCCATTTCTGGTGTCCCCTGCCATGATATTGCTGGAATATTGCTAAAAGCGGCGTAAAACCATACTCACTCACTCACTCACTGACAAGACTGGTTTGCCGGGCTCTTCATGGAACATTTATAGTAATGGAAATATGGTTATGTATAAGATTGAATAAACAAAATTTGATAAAGGAGCCCTTTAGCATACTACTAAATTTTTAAAAGGGATATTTCTATATATAAAGAAATAACAGAAATGCTCCTATCAGATGTTGAGAACTATACTAGTCTCCTTATTTCTGAGCTAGAGCTGATGAGGAAATGGGTATAGGCTGCTAGAGTTGAGACGTGAATGAATAGGGGGGTAATTGTTTATCAAATATTTGCTCTGGGGTAACAATTAATTTTAAACTAGGGGCATGGATGGTCTAAAGCAAGAATTCTCCCTCCCAGAGTAGCCCTGCTAGGATTATTGCAAGCGGTTTGTCTGGTCCAAGATTACCCTGATGGCATCAGACATTACTACTAATACTGGTTTGTCTGGTCGAGTCTAAAGTATTTAAAGTCTGCTGTCCTATAGCTGGAATATTGCTGAATGCGGTATTAAACAAAAACGAACAAACACAGCTTACCCAAGTTGGTTTAAAGAACCCTTTTCTTGCCCCTATATGAAAGGAAACATGGCAAAACATTTAAGATGCGAGTGTAGAAGTTTGAACTCTCATAACAAAAACTTTCAGGTGATGGACCACATGAGGGAACAAATGTTATGTGTATTTCCAGATCCCTGGGGCTATTTCTACACAGAAACTCAGTCTTGTTTACAGCACTGCCCATTGCACTGGGATACACCCATGTAATATGAATGTGGTTCTGTTTAATCTTGTGTTTTTGTATTGTCAGTCTTAAAATCATTTTTTTAAATTAACTTTTTAGAGAAATATTTTGACAAAATAATCCTTGAAAGAAATAAAAATGTTGTGTTTTTGTATTTATTGTCATTAATATTGTGAACTGAGAGTTTCGTTGTGTACATACGAGTAGTGTTCATCCATCATTATGGCACTGCGGCACCCCCACCCAGGCTCCACTGTGGGAACAATCCTACCCCTAGCACACTCAAAATAATAAATATGTAACTTATAGCATTAATGTTTATACACAATTCCACAAATATATATTTATGGCATTTTTGTAGCCCCACCTCAATTGACATATTAAATTTTCAACATTTTCTAAATTGTTAAAAAAATGTTATATTTTAAGACTTTCCTTCCCTAGTATTGTTGAAAATATTACTAAGAATTAAGATACAATTAGAGCTAATGCATTCTGGGTGGTGTATGGCAATCACATGTACATATTCCAGGAAATGTAGACCGCCTTTGTGGTCTAGTGGATAAGAGCGTCTGCCCTGAGAGCAGGTCTGAGGTTTGGTCCCCTGGTCATACCACACCAAAAGTTGTTAAAAGATGGTACTTGTTGTTATCCTGCATGGTCCTTGGCATTAAGTGGATAAAACAAGGCTTGGTTGGCTTGGTGTCAGTATGCTGTGTCTGAGTGGTGTATCAATGGTAAACAGCAGCATGGTATCTCAGTGCGCTAGCACTATAAAAATGGCATAAGACCGGACTAGTGCAAGCAGCTACACACTTGCATGCATGTCACTAAATGCAATTATCTTGAAGCCCAGTGCACCTCACTCACCCTGTCTCAGCTGTGGCTGGAGTGTTGCTAATATAAGGGTAACACTATTTTTCAGGGCATTATCATTTGCAGAAGCCTGTGGTCTTCCATTAACTGCCTGACAAAGGAGGGCATTTGGAAAGACCGAGGGCTTCTGCAAATGACAATGCCCTGAAAAATAGCGTTACCGTTATTATAGCTAAATGGATAGAATTTATCAAGTAAGCAACAATATCGGTTTTGAAACATTTACTGCAATCAGCACAGGACGAATGTCACTGACCCACTTTCACAAATATGGGAACGTCATAGAACAAACCAGATGATGTCACTATTGAATATCAATATGACGTCACCTAACAACGGGCGTGATAATGGCCCGCCATCAAGCAACCTGAGGGCATTATTAAGTTACAGATCGGCTCATTTCTGATAAGTGTGGGCGGTTTAATGATAATTCTATCCATTTTAGCTATAAAGCAGTCTAACACCTCATTCACTCACATGAAGTAAGTCACTGTCTAGAGTGTAGTATGGGGTTTCCCCACATATAAAGCTGACACACCCTGATACTGTTCTGATCAGCGTTAAACCCATCATTCACACACCGGAGCACAGTTATTTCAGTCAGGTGAACAGAGGCCTCCTCAAGGTTAGTTCCAACGATGACAAGTTTGATTCTGGGTATTTCCCCATCAGTTCAGAACAGGCTCATAGGCTTCAACAACATGATCATAAGCAAAAAACTGGAAGAATTGGTTAGATGGCACTTTATGACTTGTATGGATACATCGCTGTGGTGGATTAGAACAAGGTATAAAACAGACTCTGTTGTGTGGCCATGCAACTATCAACACTCTGTTTAACACCGACTTTAACAGTATTCCAGTGATGTCATGGCATGTCAGTTTAAAGTGGGAAGAAACCCCGAAGTGATGCATGAAACCCATGAGTGAGTGAGTGAGTGAGTGAGTGAGTTACAATTTAAAGCCGTATCGGCATTATTTCAGCCATATAACGAGACCAAGTTAGTATGTTCACAATTGAGTCATTTATGCAAAGTTATATTTAAAAAAAATCTATGAACCATTTTTCAGTATATCAATATCATGTTAACAGTTATAAAACACGGGCTATAGGCCACCAGTAACCAAGGCTAAGCCACCTCGCTGGGGATCATGGGGACTAACAGTA